ACAAATCAGACAGACTTTGATGGACTTAAACTTAAATATGAATAATTCTGTGTATTGACGTCTTTCCGAGGTTGAAATAAAATACCTTCTGATGTTTATTCATGTTTATTTCGTACTTTAAGTAGGCTAAATATGAAAAGACGATTGGTTAATGTGACACATAAACTGAGGAAATACAGTGATCTGTCACAACACATTAAAGAGCCACAAAATGGTTTATTTAACATTACACCATTTTATCACACAGTAAAAAATACATGTGAGCAAAGAGGAAACTGACAACGTGCCAACAGACAAGACAGAGCAGGTTACTTCTGGTATGAAACAAGGTCTCCGCTTTCAAATTTAGTCATTTTTTAAGAAATTCAAACAATAAATATCGTTTTGTGGCTCTTTAATGTGTCCTGACGTGAATTGATCCCATTTCATATTTACTTTAAGCACAAAATAAACATAAATGAACATCAGGTATTTTATTTCAGCCACGGAAAGACATAAATACACTACATTTTTCAAGTTTAAGTCCACCGAAGTTGATCTACTCTCCTGTCTGATCTATTTGCCAGGCAAGATGGTGGATTCCGCGTTATGACTGGTCAGATCACCTGTCCATCAAGCTCTTTGAGAACGGTCAATTGTTAAACGACAACAATCCAATAAATTTTCAATGGACTAAATCAAGTCCTGGCTTACATTTTTCCTCATTTGAAAAGCTGGATATACTTGAATATAACAGATAATATTCACTTGGATATACCTGTTATAATATTCTCATCTGTTTTTTTTTCCTGTTCATGGCCACAGCTTCACCTACAACAGTGATCGTTCATCCCACCACAAACTACCCTGGAGAACCTTCAGATTCCACGGGCACTACAACATCTTCCACCACCATGTTTGGGAACACAACTATGAGCAGTACAGTGAGCACAACTCATGTTCAGCACAACACAACAACGTCTTCAACTTCCACAGCTACTAACAGACCAACAACAGTGACGACCAACATTCCTACAACAACACTTGCACCTACGACACAGAACTCTGTCAGAACTACATCTTCCGCTTATCGGACATCAAACAATCCACCACATTTGATCTCCTATGTAGCTGTTGAGTGCATCCCGGGGTATGTAACAGTCGTTATAAAGCGAGACGTCTTGCACAACCATTACATCCAAGAGAGTTCCCTGTACCTCGGTAAACCAGAATGTGGTCTCAGCGGGGGAAATGCATCCCATGTGTGGCTCACTACATCTTGGGCGAAGTGTGGTACTAAACTAGCGCACGTAAGTCCTCCAGTATCATTCAACTCTGTAAATTATGTCTATGTAGTGTGTTGTATGATAACATAACCAATGTTTTTTGTCTTTTAGAACGGCACCCATAATTTAGCTAACGTGACTCTATATAACAGCGTGAGCAATGTTTCTTCTGTGCGTCTGGAAGTTCCTGTCATTTGCTCTTTCCCCAGAGGCATCCTCATCTCCACGGGATACGCCCCCTCAGGGTACTGTGCTTCCATAGCAACTGTCTCCATGGAACTTGTTTTTCTCTTGGTTTCCTATTCAATACGCCATCTCTTGTCACGTCAAGGACATCTAGACTCAATTTAAGGTGTTAATTATGTCAGCGTGCATTAAACAACAAACACATTTTTCCTAAACTCAGATATCAAACTGAGACCAGATTATTTAAATTAGGAGTGGAAACTCCAGTTATTTACTTTTGCTTTCAGTGGATGAATCTCACATTTTTCACCAAAATTAAAAGAAAAAGGAAGAAATTATATATTGCATATATAAGAAAATAAAGACCATTAAGTTTTTTACATTGTAACATTATTTTCATGACAATTTCCCACCCAATTCTTACTATCAAAATTGTTTGATTTTTTTTTTTTTTTTTAGTTTAGTTTGAGAGTTATTGCCATTGTCTTCAATTGTTATTTTTATTAGAATACAAGTGTCAGCATTTTCTTTCTTTTTAAAAATTAGCTTAAATGAAATAATAAAATAAAAACAATAAATAAATAATAAATGTAAACCTTTAAAATATAAAAATGAATAATACAAATAATAATTATATATATATATATAAAATCATTAGCATTTTATATGATGAATTATTAGGATATAATTGTTATAATAAAGTATTTTTATTTACATTTATTTACACTCATTTAAATCATTAAAAAATATTATGTTTAAAATATTAAAATGAATACAATTAAATAATGTACTGTAGCATCTTGTTTTCATATTGCGGTAATGAACATGAGATTTTATAAAAATGTAAAACCCCCAAAAATGGGCTTTATTTCCTTTAAGTGAAATATCATTTTCTAATTCTTTCTTTTGATTTCAGGGTGATTTTGTCACTTTGATTACAACTAACAAACCCTGTCTTTTGAAGGTATTTTGATATGATCAATGACCCAGTGGCAGGATCGGGTAGTTTCCAGGTTACTGTGCGGCTGCTGAACGGGACGATTCCTTTACCTGAAAATTTCACCCTCTCCCCTGATGATGAAATCATTGTAGAGGTTGGGGTCAACACTACTATCTCTCAAATCAAAGTTGTCATCGACAAGTGCTGGGCCACTTCCAGCAGCGACTCATCAGAGTCTCCCTACTACCTGTTTCGGGATAGTGGGTGGGTGCAGCTGAATAATGTCTTTCAGTCTGGGAATATCATTTTTGCATTGGCTATTTTCATTTGACTAGAGCTTTTAAAGGGTTAGTTCACCCCAAAATTAAAATTCTGTCATTAATTACTCACCCTCATGTCGTTTCAAACACGTAAGACCTTCGTTCATCTTCGGAACACAAATTAAGATATTTTTGATGGAATCTGAGAGCTGTCTGACCCTGCATAGACAGCAACGCAACTGAAATGTTCCCAAGTCCAGAAACGTAGCAAGGAGATCGGTAAAATAATCCATGTGACATCAGGGGTTCATCCGTAATTATACGAAGCTACAAGAATACTTTTTGTGCGCAAAAGAAAAAAAATAACGACTTTATTCAACAATTCGTCTGCTCTGTAGCGCCATTTTGGAGAGTATCTGCTGGACGTAAGCAGCGTATGCTGTTCTGTGTCAGCTGCGTCACACGGATACGTTGTTTGCGTTCAAATCAAATCACAACAACGTAGGAAACAGATCCGGCGTGACACACAGAACAGCATACACTGTTTACGTCCGGCTGATATTCTCCAAAATGGCGCTACATGGTGATGCGGAGGAGACGAATTGTTGAATAAAGTTGTTTTTTTTTTCTTTTGCGCACAAAAAGTATTCTCGTAGCTTCATAAAATTACGGTTGAACCCCTGATGTCACATGGATTATTTTACCGATCTCCTTGCTACGTCTCTGGACTTGGGAACATTTCAGTTGTATTGCTGTCTATGCAGGGTCAGACAGCTCTCAGATTCCATCAAAAATATCTTAATTTGTGTTCCGAAGATGAACGAAGGTCTTACGGGTTTGAAACGACATGAGGGTGAGTAATTAATGACAGAATTTAGATTTTTGGGTGAACTATCCCTTTAAAAGTAGATTTTTCACAGGTGTACCTATTTGACTGTGCTGTATTGGATACCTGCTGTGTAATGTGTTCACATATCTCTCGCTGTTCCTCAGGTGTCTGGTGACAAACCCATACACAACTATTCTTCAGAACGGAAACGACACTGTGGCTTTGCTATCAGTGCGGATATTCAAAGTTGTAAATCTCTATGTCATCTACCTGCACTGCCAGATCCAGATCTGTGTTGAAATTCAGGACGGCGCCTGCAGACCTGTGAGTTTATGTATATATATTTAAGTAGTTGTGGTGTTATAGCTTTTACAAATTATGTATTTTTATTTCTTTTAAATATATTGTGTTGTTTTTTTTTTCTTACTTTTCCGCATAGATTAAATGGACAGCATGTGAACAGAAATGCAAGAATATTTCATATATATAATCTTTTTGCAAATCATTAGGTTTGTACGAAGACATACAGGTCGTCTAACGTAGTTGGAGTGACAAAGGCTTCCGTTGGACCCATAAAGAGAATACGTCCAAGTAAATACTTCTTATTTAATGCAAAGAATGCTCATATAATAACTATACCCTGTATATTAGGACATAATATCAACTGACAAAATCTTTCTTTCTCTTTCTTTTTCTTAAAACGTCAGTCCAAACAGATACATCAAATACTCTGCAGTCTGTTGGATTTATTCTGCTTGGTGTTGGTGTGTTTCTGTTTTCCCTGGCTGCCATTGCAGGATTGGTGTATCATAAAAGGAAAATCGGCAACTACAACTTCCGTTGCAAACCACAGCAGCAGAACTTCACCTATCATGTTTTTGACACGTAACTGCACTCAAATAGTTAACTGTAGTTGTAAACTGATCATTTTATTATTGGATATTACTAATAGGCACAGTATATAGAAAATTAAATTAATGGTTTAGATAAATGGATTAATGGAATTAATGGATTTGACTATATGTTTGTAGAAAAACAATCTACTATGAAAGTTATTCTTAATTTTTTTTTGTTTGTTTTGTCAGCACTTTAACATATATGTGAATCCGGACCACAAAACCAGTCATAAGTAGCACAGGTATATTTGGAGCAATAGCCAACAATACATTGTATGGGTCAAAATGATTGATTTTTCTTTTATGCCAAAAATCATTAGGATATTAAGTAAAGATCCTGTTCCATGAAGATATTTTATAAATGTCCTACCGTAAATATATCAAAACGTAATTTTTGATTAGTAATACGCATTGCTAAAAACTTCATTTGGACAACTTTAAAGGCGATTTTCTCAATATTTTGATTTTTTTGCACCCTCAAGATTCCAGATTTTCAAATAGTTGTATCGAACAAACCATACATCAATGGAAAGCTTATTTATTCAGCTTTCAGATGATGTATAAATCTCAATGTCGAAAAATTGACCCTTATGACTTATGACCTTATGACCTTATGGTTTTGTGGTCCAGGGTCACAAATGTATTTCTATCTAGACAAAGACATGGCCCATAATGGAGGCATGGACCAGCAGCACAGGAAGACCCAGTATTCGGGGAATCAGGCCAGACAGGCGACAAAACGCTATCAAGAACAGTGCTGTAACTACAGAGAGTTCAACATGCAGCCTTCCTCCAAAATGGATGGTGAGCTCTGAACCGACACAGACACACTTACGTACGTCATGCACTGTGGATGCTGATTCTCAGAACCGTTTGTGTTTGCAGGAGTCGTGAGCCGTCTTATCGGGCCCTCCTTCGAGACCTACTCTCTGCCTGAACTGACGCGTTACGACTGCGAGGTCAACGTCCCGTTGCAAGGCAATCTTCATTTGCTGCAGGGCAGTGACCTCCTAAGAGCATTAGACCAGGCCACTTAGACCGGTTTCACCACAGAAATGCAGTCCCACTTTCCCCCAAACCCTATCGCTCATCTCACACTCACCATCCCAGCTTTAGCACATCCCACAAACACCCTCTCACAGTCATATCTACCTGAGCGCATACATGGCAAATGTAGCTTTGATTCTATTTTTATTGTCTACATCTTCATAAATTATATACAAGTATTTTTGGAGGAGTTGAAATGATGTTGCGTTGTGTCTCTGCTTGTCAGATCACTCGGCGAAGCTGTTTTCAGCATACTCATTTTCTTTTTTTTTCTCTATCAATGTCAGACAAGAAAAGCAAGAAAGAATCTACTGTAAGCTACTTGTTTTAAAATGTTCTCATTTCTTTTATTTGTTCTAACTTTCCTACCTCTGACACATCATTACAGACCCCATGAAATCAAAAGGCTAGTTTGGAGCTCATGTATACACTAATGCAGTGGTTTCCAAAGATGTTTTATTAAATAATTCAATCAGCATTAACAATAGCTGCTCTTTATACATGTGCTGCTGTCTTTCCACTTGCACAAACACGTTCACTGTGAAGGGTTGCCAGATTTGACAAAAAACAACCTGGTCTAATACAGTGACCCTTGTTATTATGCTTTAGGTAGGTAGTATTCTCTAAACAAACCCCTTAAAAATGACTGGTTTTTGTGGTCCAGGGTCACATATGGTATAGATCAAGGTCTTAACCACGTCTTTAACATAGGTGGGGGTGCCATTTTTTAAAGAAATTATATTTTTGTTTTAAAATTTGCACACAATCATTCTTATTCGTATGCCTGATATGTCGAAAACGCAAAATGTTCCTTGCCAGTCATATTCATACACATAAAATTAATAATTAAATGATACTTTTCAACTCAAAAACCTGGGTAGTTTGCATCACTGAATATTGTTGTTGATCGTTTAACACTTGAAATTCTATAGTAAAACCGTTATGAAATATTATATTAAGCTGCTTACATTTTACCTCGCATTCTTTCACCGAAGAGTTGCGCGGGAATTTCTTTGATCTGATTCGTCATCTCAGTCATTTTGACATTGACGAGCGTTATTGGAACGCTGAGGCAGACCAGGCTAAAAAAATACAGAGATGCATCAACAATATCAAATAGTAGGAGAGAAATGTGTCCATTAGTAATTTTTGGTGGGGCCTGTTCTCCTCAATGTCTATTGTGGTTACAGCCCTGGTATAGATATTTAAAATGGTTGAATATGTTACTTATTATGCCATTTAAGAAAACTGCAAACAAAAGCTATATACCAAATACACAGCTTTTTCAGTAAAGGTATGGCACTCTCTCAAATACGCCACTAGAGGACGCTGTTAACTGTACAATTTGATACCAGGTCTGTTGTGTGTATGTGCTTCACATTTAGGCAGATGAAAATCTGATTTTATTAGTAATATTTTAAATAAATGTATACTTCATCTGTCTCTTATATGGTCTGTTAAATTACTGTTTCAAGCTGTTAATTTCTTAATTAAAAATAAATAAATATAGGCCTATATATTA